ATCTGTGGAAGTCTGGGTTGCTGTCAAAGTCTTGTCGGTGTGTTAATTTACTGTGAATAAATTGTCTAGCAATAAGCTCGTGTCGGCGTGCCTCACCATACAGAGGGAGGGTCAGAACAGTATACTATTACAGTCAGCGGTGGGATTCCAATAATTTAACAATTGGTTCTCTGCCCTAATGATTTTTTTCAACTCAGGAACTTAACAACCAGTTCTCTCGAAGTGGTGTGAACTGGCTGAATCCCACCGCTGCTATTACTTACTAAAATGATAATTTCTATTATACATCATATAGATTGTAAATAGATTTTTTGTGTGCACCGAACTGGCAGTAATGCCGGCAGCACCCCTGAGCAGAGTCATGCCTTGAGATCTGCAGGATTCGTAACCATTGCTTGTAAATATCTTGAACAGTAATTTCTGAACAGTTTTTAAGCTCAGCTTCACATAGAGTGTATATCTAATTGGTTGGCAGTAAGGACATAAGTTACTATAGCTAGGTCCCACTGTCCTTCCCTAGTCAACTCAGTTTCTACAAAGGAAACCCATGTCAGTGTTTTATCCTGCCCAAGTGTGTCTGTGGCAGATCTCAGACAGTGAAGACATAAATTTAATTTACAATTCAATGTCTAATAGTTGAATTACTCAGTTATGTGCAACTCTATAATAAGCGTACTTAATTAGGATAAAAGTCTATTATATTGTTGTTGTTTTTTAATTGTCAGGGATAGAATCAAGATCACATGAACTGTTAATATCACTTTATAATGTCTTGGTAAGACCATGCTTTCAATATTTCATCTAGTTTTGGTTGCCATAATATAGAAAAGTTGTTGAGACTCTAGAAAGAGGGCAGAGAAGAGCAACAAAGATGATTAGGGGATCAGAAGCTAAAACACATGAAGAATGGTTGCAGGAATTGGGTATGTCTAGTTTAATGGAAAGAAGGACTAGGGGTGATATGATAACAATGTTCCAATATCTAAGTGGTTGCTACAAAGAAGAGCGGGTCAATCTATTCTCCAAAGCACCTGATGGCAAGACAAGGAGCAATGTATAGAAACTAATCAAGGAGAGAAGCAACCTAGAACTAAGGAGAATTTTTCTGACAGTTAGAACAATTAATCAATGGAGTGATTTGTCTCCAGACGTTGTGGGTGCTCCAGCAATGGAGGTTTTAAGAAGCAATTGGGCAATCATTTGTCTGAAATGGTATAGTGTTTCCTGCTTGAGCTGGGGGTTGGACTAGATGACCTCCCTTCCAACTCTATTACTCTGTTATTCAGTCTCCTGGATATTTCCTTTCCAGGTTACACAACATGAAAGGATACTTATATTTTCAAAAAAGTTCCCACTTCATGGAATTTATCTGGCTGCACAAGAGTTTTTAACTTCCAATACATAATGTGATTCTAGTTTTTCTAGCGGCTATTAAACCTGTTAAAAGCAAAGGTGTTGCATGAGACTGAATTGGGCTGCAAACATCTGGTTTAAACAGCTGCCTGAGCTCTGGGTTCTGGAAGCATGCCTGTTTGCCTCCTTCAAATGCTGCTGCCATGGTTTAACAAGGTAAAGTTGCTGACAAATTGAGCCTGACTCCGGGTAATTTTATTGATTTATGAATCTATACAGTTTTCTTGGCAGCAATACAGAAGTAGCTTGTCATTGTGATATGTCTTCATAGTTTAGCTCAGTGTATCTCAACCTTGGCAACTTTATGAAGTGTGGACTTCAACTCCCAGAGTTTCTCAGCCAGCATGCTGGCAGGGGGATTCTGGGAGTTGAAGTCCACACATCATAAAGTTGAGAAATACTCATTTAGCCTATAGGATTTCTTAGATAACTTCCATCCAAGTCCTTACTTGGTTCAGTCATACATAGTTTCAAAGCCCAGACAAAATTGCCTCTGTGCCAAGTGTCTGCTGAACTCAACTCCATAGCAACTTGTGCTATCTCTGCTGCTATGTTGTTGTCCATTTCCTTTCCTGTCCCAAGAAGGCAAGAGAAATGGGGTACAAATCATGGTGGTATTTTCAGGAATGTTGGGAGTTGTAGTCCTAGCCTCATGACTAGTAGGAATCTACGCTGGTAGAGTCTGATCTTGTCTCTGTTGCTTTTCTTGTCAGTTGAATTGCTGATGGGTGATCTGCTGGGGAGAGAGGTAGCAAAGGCTATATAGGAAGTGCCAAAGTAGGCATTTTTCAAGTATTTGCAACCTTTTGCAATTTGCTTGAATCATGTCCTTGTCAAAATAAAACCCTCATATTTTCGTATTGTCTGCAATGCCTTTGTTATTTCCAACAAATATTCACTTTGCCAGATTTTGAGTTTTAGGAAGAGTGCCGGGCCGGTAGACTTCTTTTAAACTTACTTTTTAAATGTGTTTTTGTCTTTGTGTTTCATAATTTGTTTTCAACAATTTGTTACCAATAGTTGTCTTCATGTTTTTATGACACAGGAATTGGTTTCTTGTTTCTGAATTAGTCTCCATCAATTTTTGGAATGATACTACAACCTTTCTCTCAATAAACAAATAACTATGTAGACACAGCGATTTGTGTTGTTGACCTTCAATCATAAGATTTTTTTTTCTTCATTTTATTTTCCTGTTCCACTAGGAATATAAAGATGGGAACTGCAAACAACATAAAAAAGACTAAGATAAATTAAGATCTTATAAAAAGATGGTACATAGTCTGAGGAAGAAAATGCCCTGTAGAGATTGTTAATTTGAATTAATCCTAATGTATATGTACTGCATTGTTACCATTTAAAAACATACATGTGTATGCAGCAAGTGTGGGTTCCGGCCAGCATTACTGCTGCTTTGCTCGTGTGTGCATTTTGCTTATGTGCGCACTTTGCTGGTGTGCGTGCTTTGTGTGCACACTTGATGCGTACTGTGCCCTCATGCACAGTACAATAGAAATTGTTCTGTGCATGCGCAGAAATGAAAAACAAGATGGTGGTGGTGATGGTGCAACCGGGGAACCAGTTCGGGGATGTGGACAGGCCCATTACCGGTTCAGCCAAACAGGTCTGAACCAGTAGGATCCCACTACTGGGATGCAGGCAATCCTCGATTTACAACAGTTCATTTAGTAACTATTCAAAGTTATAATAGGACTGAAAAAAGTGACTTATGACTGTTTTTTACATTTATAACCTTTGCAGCATCCCCATGGTCATGTGATCAAAATTGGATGCTTGACAACTGACTCATATTTATGATGGTTGCAATATCCTGGGGTCATGTAATCAACCTTTTGCATCCTTTCAACAAGCAAAAGTCAATGGTGAATCCAGATTCACTTAACAACCATGTTACTAAATTAATAACTGTAGTGATTCACTTAACAGTGATGGCAAGAAAGGTAATAAAATGGAGCAAAGCTCACTTAACAAATATCTCAGCAACAGAAATTTTGGGTTCAATTGTGGTTGTAAATCAAGGACTACTTGTATTTATATATATACACATTTATGAGTCTTACATAGCTTGCTTTTAAAGTAGTCTCTGCTCTACTGGATTTTTTGCCCCTTCAGGGTATTTATGTATACATTTCTGTAGTCTTAATATGCTACTTNAAGAAGAAGAAGAAGAAGAAGAAGAAGAAGAAGAATGACCTCTGTAGGGAGGCTATTGCATGGCACAGGCTTTCTATCAAGAAAATGTCTCCACGCCTCTCTTCCACCCACCTCTCTGAAGCATCTTCTGTCTCTATTTGATTGTCAGAAAATCCTTTTATAGGCTAGTGATGCTATTATCACTGATGTCTCTATCTATTACGGTTTCATATTTTTTTCTCTTCTATTCAAATGCACACAGGGAAACAAAACAAAACAAAGGAAAGCATGCAGTTTCCATATAGGAATGGAATTACATCATTAACCTATCTATACAATAAATTCATTAAAACATCATTGTACATTCAGTCTAGAAATCACAATGACTTTTTAAAAAGGCTTTGTCTTGTTATATACCTTGCTCATTTTATCTGCATAGGAAACATCTGGTGTACTATATTCTTTTATCTTCTTGTTTATTGGTGATTCTTAGATAATAACATGGCATTTTAGAGAATAGCCCAGCTAAAACTAATGAATAAATCATCATTATCAGCATCATTTAGCCATTGTCTATCCACTGCAGGATGATGGCCTCTTCTGCATGTATCCAACCTATACAGTCCTGAGCTTTCTTTTGCCAATTGAGCCCACAGACCCAGTGAATAAATGTATAGGTTGCTTGCCCCAAGGCAATTACAATATAACTTAATATGACTATTTAATTTCCATCAGAAGATCAATGGAGAAAGTAGTATTAAGACTATGCAGGGCTTTGGAT